TATAGGCTTTGTCTGTTGATCAACCCCTCTCAATGTATTTTAGCGGAAATAAATAGTGTTTGAAAAAGCCAAATTGATGGAATCATACCAAATTTACAAATAAAGACGTCTATATAGAATGTAGAATATCTACCAACCATTTTATTTAACTCTGCATTGGCTCTTGATATTTACCTACAGCTATTCAAATTTAGCCACAAAATTCAAACAAACCCATCGATCTCACAAAAAGGTTAAAGATATGTAAACATTAAGTCTAATCTTTTACCAAATACGTTCAAAGATTTTTGACCTGGTATATTTGCACGAGGACGGGTTCCCATCGTGTTTATTTTTTCACATTGGCGCAAATTGCGAAACGTGATCCCATAAGCAATTCTAAGTTTATTTGTTTGGATATGCATGCTTTAGGCGGAATAATGGACTTGAAATTCGAATTCCTGGAACAGTTTTAATATCGATGACAATGTTCTCATACATGTGTTGACATTTGGTTCTATCGCTTCACAAAGCGGGGTTCACGGGAATGTCAAACAGCCAAATATATTAATATCTGAGTCTGTGATGATTAGAAGTCTTCCCACAAACGTGACAGTCGAGCCTGTCAAGTGTACGACAATACACAGTCGTCAAGAATGAGGATCGGGAGGTCACAGTGGCGGTTCAGTGTGTATGTGGCCATTGTCAACGGCGCTCGGCGTGACGTGTCTGATATATATATATATTCTTTTATTTCCTCCAAAGGAGACTACAAGGACATGGAGAAAGATTATTTACATAGATTTACATATATATTTGGATGTTTTAAGTACTTTGCTATGCTCTACAGAAAATAGAGGTGAAGACAGAAAAGTCTTTTTTTGACACTCTTGGCGGATAGTTGGCTGGTTCGGCATCGGTCTGCATTGGTGGGTTGCACGACAACAGGCATGCAACAATGTCTACATCTGGCTTCTCGTGAAGACATACGTTGATCTCAAGGGGACCAACACAACTGATGTCAGACCACAGGGTATCCCTCAGGTTGGTAGCAGGCTCACATTGACATACACCATGAGTCAGGAGGTCTCGAATACTCTGTCACACAGTTTGCACACCCCTGTGTCTCTCCCTGGTCTCCATGACGCACAACTCCTGATGATGGATAATGCTGCTCTCTTCAGTTCAGGGTAGTCTTTGGAGATCAGCCAAGCTATATGAGGTCGCAGTGTTGGGTGGATGGTCTTGAAGTGTTGAAGGTCATTTTGTCCCGTCCCGTCCCGTCCCGTCCCGTCCCGTCCGTCCCGTTCTGTTCTGTTCTGTTCCTGACCATGGGTTACCGTTATCTGTTACGCAGTTGTAACGTTGATCACGTAGTAGCCAACGTCATACTGGCCAATGCATATGTGTACACTACAGAGTCACCAGGCACAGAAGAAGGAATATGGCGGTTATTGTCACGGGTCGGGTATGAGATGTGGCCGTTATTCGCTTATAACGGCACAGCACCATCGGTCCCTGGATACTTGGCGACGTAAGATGCCACAGAGTCGACTAAATCAGAATCGAATGTTTTCATTGTGAGACCTGGTTCACTGGGTGTCACTTAACTCATTGCTGATGCTATCCGCCACTGTTTCGTGTAACCCATGATTATTATTATTATTATGATTATTTACAAGTTCCAGTGATCTATGTGTATGTAGTCAGGGCAACAGTCTGGATATATGGCACTGGACCATGAATAATCGAATCTTGGCAAGACAATCCGGTGATAGATATTCTGAGCAAAGATCAGGTTGGTTACATGTTCACAGGTCAGATACAAGTATTCGTAGGCTTGACTAAAGAAGCCGGTTAAGGGACAATTGCGGGTCAGTGGTAGGATACTGGTTTATGCACGTAATACGCAGTTACGGAGGTAGACGAAAACTGGTTAAAAAAGTCGGGTAAAAACAATGGTTGAAGATCCGGGTTCGCGTCCAAACAGCCGGTCACATTCACGCTCTGTACACGGAATAAACAACGGAATTTGGACATCGTGAGAGGCGGGGGTGTCACCATGGTTACAGACAAACATCAAGCAATGCCACTGCGATTACTAACCACCAAGTACGCATGTCCCTATGTTGTCGCCCACCCTCAGTATAACGTGACATTTACACCGTATATTACACACACAGTGTTGCCGTGGCCTTACCGCCCAATGGTCTGCATATTGCCCTGGAAGGGTGACGCCCTTATGCAATCAGCAGACATAGCCGAGACTGTGGGATAATTAGCGACTCGGATAAACACATATTTCTGTTCTAGATGATGTGTCATACACACGCAACGTTGACGATCGCCGCTGTGACTGTATACACAGCAGCATTACTAACGCACTGTAGTTTTAGATTCTGCTGAATGCATTCTGTGTGTCTTTCTATACACAGCAGCATTAATAACGCACCACAGTTTTAGATCCCTGTGTGTGTCAGGCGTTGAGCTTGTATACACAATAACATAATTAACGCACCATAGTTAAGGTTCTGGGCCTAGATTTTCGAAGCTCTCTTAGCTCTCAGATAGTCGTAAGTGCCATTCATTTACATTAACTTACGACTATCTTAGCGCTAAGAGAGCTTCGAAAATCCAGGCCCTGGTACACATAGATGAGGGGAGAGGATTACTGCTCTTATTGTGATGTGTATGAACATGTGTGCTAATACTCGGACCAGGAAATGGGGGCGATGAGACAGCCTAGTGATTTGTCACGCCGAAGTCCCGGGTTCAAATCCTGGGTGCAATGTATGAAGTCCAGTTCTAGTGTCCAATGCCGTGATTTTGCTGGAAAATTGCCCAAAGAGGCATAAAACCATCGTGACTAATGCCGGTTTTATAATGCATAAACCAAGTCGCGGTGTTTCAAGTAGTCTGTCCCACAGTCCCTGAACCACTTAATTTTCCCTACAGCCTAGCCATCCCTGCAATCCTAGAGCCCTAAATGAAGCAAGTCTAGATTTCACCAGGAATCTCCCAACTCCCTGGAGATCGGGCCTTTCATTTTAAGTGGGTTTATTCGTTACCATCAAAATAATATATTCAGGGACTATGCGTAAGTCTGTGTTTCATGGACCCTCCGCTTAAACAACAACAACATTAGTTTTAGTTGGGCTCTGTAAGTTAGATTCGTCCGCCTGCGTGCGTGCGTGCGTGCGCGGCGAATGGTCTTCCATCAAATAAAACTTCATTGAAGACATACGGAGAGAGTTGTTCGGTGTTTTGGTATGGTTCTGCAGCTTATTTTTTTTCAGTTATTCAACCAACTCAGCAAAATATTCTAGAAACATGACCAGAATCTGTAAATATTCGAGTCTGGACAAGATAGCCCAGAGAATGAAAACATGAGCATCGATTTGGATACGATGCCATGCGCGAAGAAAACCTGCCAGCCCACCAGCCGATCGATCCTGTTAGTCGCCTCTCACGTGAAGCTATGGTTAGCTGAAGACCAGTTCCAACCCTGATATTCATTGTAGTCCAATGCCGCCGCCTTCAAGAGCAACAAGAATGTCCTGGGACCACATTTCACTCTCAGGTACCCGTGGGAGGTACAAAAACAAATACGTGTCACAATGTCTCCTTAAAGACTGAAAAAATCACGAGGCGTTAGGTACAAACACATGCAAAAATACAAGTACTAAAATGAACTAAGATTTAAAATCATTTTAAATTTAGGAAAAAGATGCCTCTTTTCACAAATATATTGCTGACCAAAAAATGGATAAAGAAACTCGATGGAAACTGGCGTGAAATATGGTTGATCATCAGTTTAGATTACTGCAGTAAATGTAGCGATTCGGTTTTAAAAGAAAACAGAAATTCATGCTTAAGATGTAAAAAATCAAAATTTTTAAAGATAAGCGTCTCACAAGTATTTTCAGCTTCACTATTTTCTAAACCGAAGCAAGTCTATGTTTACTGCAACCACGTGACGACGCAAAGGGTTGCGCGGCACGGACATGCGCAGTGCGTGTCGCATCGTGAGTCGGTCAATCATTATTTTAAGGATGAGAACAGACCCTCGCTGCGGGACGTTATCTGATTTGCCGCAGGCTCGCTGCTTTGTCAGTTAAAGGACCACATGGACACTAAACATGTCAGAGTCTATGAAATACACTGCGTTTGACTCACAACTGGGCATGAAACAATTGCGAGACATTAAACATTTAAAGTAATAGATATTTTCTGCTAATGTTCAGAGAACATTGTTGAAATTTAGATACTGCGGCAATACATCTCAAAATAATATAACTTCAAATGGAAATAATATAAACGACATAAACTAATAAAAGTACCAAAAAATTGAAAATCGAATTGTCAAATTCGTCCATTTTCCGCTCGACTTTGTCTACGAACCTTTAATAGCTGTAAAAATATTAATTTGTCTCTTATACGAAATACGTTACATTAATTAAAATTCTTCTCCAAACGCTACAACTGCTATTTCCAAGTTACGCATTATCGTTTCTAATTGTTTATATTAAACTTTGAGATTTTAATTTTAATTATGTTCACAATCAATTTTAATTATGTTCACAATCAGTTTAAATTATGTTCACAATCAAACATAAACGAGTAGGACAAGTGTACAAGTAAGTTATTGCGTAAAATTATATCATACATGCTAACATCTGTCCATTAAATTCAATGGGACCTTTCCCGAAGTTTATTTTCTGAGCTCATCCAAGGCATAAAGCGCTTATGTATGACATAATATGAGGGGTAAGCTCTCTCCTGAAACAGGGAGAGACAGTGTAATCGGTTTGCGATCGGTATATCAACAGAGCAGCCCAAAATCAACAGACCATTTGGTCTGACAGTACTCCACGTTGTATCAGTCGACTGCCGACTTAATGGCGCCTGGCTGCGCACAACTGCTAATAAGCATTACTCTCCTTGCCCCGCCTCTCAAGCTCCGCCCCTCCGCTTGAAGCAGCCATACAGAACGCCGAGCTGGTTTACGACCGTCTGACAGTGGGCCGTGCTACAGACTAGTACGGCATGGCTGCTATATGTTATCAGCCGTGTTTTGGGCCGAGGAGAATTAGTGAATGCATGTTTTGATGGTGATTACTCGTGTTTTTTGAAACAGTCTCATGTGGGTTACCATCATGGAGCGGTAGATATACCCCAAGACACAACATCGCCTGATGCTGTGCCGGAGTGTTCACTTGGGACTTTGGAAAGTTTGTGAACTACAAGCCGACTTCTTCTCGTGTGCTCTAACGTTGCCGTCGAGACCTTGTGTGTGTTCGTGAACTGTTGACAGTGATTTCACGAGCTCGGGTCGGGCTGTTGTGACTCCTGTGGCAAGTTGTGACTCTTTAGACTTGGTCATATATGTTTGGAGGACCTACGGGTTAGATCGCTATCCATCTGAACAGCGAACCAGGATTACTAGCAGAACATCCTCGCCTGGTGGAGCCTCGATGGATTCAACACTAGCACTTCTCTTGTTATTTCTCGGCTATTGTTTTGCTGTAATTGAAGGTGAGTTCATTCACTTTTTATATTTTCAGACTAAGAACCCTGCTCCTCGAATGAATCCCAGTCACTGATAACGACTGTCTTTTGAGAATAATCCACACACGGCGCCTGTCTGGGAATCGTCTGCCTACACACACGCGTCGTCTGCTATATTCCCACGAAGTTCCTCTCAACTCCGTGTTTCGCCGTAAATCAATACCGAAAGACACAATCAGCTGAGTAGCCCAGATTTCGTCCGAAAGCATCAATCCTTTGAAATTCCCACCAATATTCGCCCGGCTATCGTTACGCCACTCAACGTTCAATCCGTATAACGTACCGGCCAAACACGGCCGTGTATATCTGCCCGGTACCTGTGTCCAGTAGGTGGACTGGCATCCTAGAACTACTTGCACGGGATACTGCCGACCTCTCATCTTCTCTAGAACACCTGTTCACTGATGTATATATCTCGTATGTTGTCGTCTGCTCTGCCACGCGGAATCTACGTGTAGCAGACGACAGACGAACAAGCCTACCAACTCTCAAGCTTGGGATAACGAACCCAACGTTTCCGAATTAGAACTGCACATATTTACATGTTAGACAGCCAAACAAGCTAGGCAAGCTCATCTTAAAGGAATTAATACGACAAGAAGTGTCTTTTAACAACCATACAGAATAGGCATATTAATTGAATGGACCGAAAAAGGCCAACTTCAAACTATAAGTGGAGTTTCCTCCAGGCTCTAAGGCCTTGTACTTCATTATTTAGTGATCCCAATCTTACGAAAATGATCTCCCTTCAACAAAGTTCTTTTATGAAGCCCTCTGTTCGGTACAATGCTTATGAATCTGTGTGAAGCGAGGCGGAAGGAAGGTAGATACACCTCAGCTTCTCCCACTGGGGGACAGAGCAGAGTCTGAGGAAGCAGTGTAGCAACTTCACATGCACGCATGGTCCTTGCTCTGTTTAAACCGCGTCAACGTCAGGGGAACGACATATTTCTGTGATTTTATCTGTTCATTGGACTATATCGAAGCTTGCAAACGCAGTTTCTCCATGGCAACATTTCAAGTGAAAAGCTTGCCTTAGGTTATCGATCAGCCCTAGCTTACAGAGGAGACAAGCGGACTGTTGTGTGTCGCTCGTACATTATCATGTAACGTCTCATAACACTAGTATCCATTTTATCCATCAAAATATGACGTCTTATTCTGAAGAAAAAGAAGCCATCTCATAAAATAAACGCACCGAGATAATTAAGGGAAAAAGTACATTATAAGTTTAGAAAGAATATTTAAGTGATATTAAGATGGACCAGTGGCTCTGGAGAGAGCTGAAATCAGTATCTAACCCTAACACTGAAAGACGAACTCATTCTTTTAATAGCAAAATAAATATCTGTTATAGAGAAGGAAAAGCAAATATCCTAGAGAGTTTAAACTTTTACCGAGTGCTAAGCGACTCATTCCTCGCTGCTTCTTGGTTGTATCCTCGCTGCTACAAAGCCCACGACTTGAACGATGACAACCATTTCTACTTTCCCCAAGTTTAAACACCGACTGTCATGCTCAAATACAACAAGTCTTGTCACGGATGCCATGTTGGTTTTCACTATCGAATTGTTCACAAAGACCCGGGATGTTTTGCCTGCAAATATTGGATATAAATGCCCTTGCTACGATATAAACAGCCTGGTATCATGAAAATCACAAAATATTCAGTGTGGCAATTTGGGAGAAGTGCAACAAAATGGTTCATATGCGAAGTATGTTTTACACAGGGTCGTGCTGGGCTTGGCGTAGATGTCGTAAAGAGCGTATTCAATACTGGGTGTGAAATATAGCATAAATATTTATACTTGGGTAAGATGTGGCTACTAAGAGTGGAAAAGAACCCGAGAACACGCCGTCTTAATTCAATAAACCTAACCGTCGTTTTGAGGACGTCACAATCAAAAATGGACCTTGGAATACCAACACAGGTAAAATGACATTTGAGAACAGCGGGTAACGCTCGCTCCACCATTTGAAGACAAGTTGCTTGACAGAGAGATCACTTTGCTGATGTGGGGGTATTGCAAGGCGCGTTCTAGACGACAGGTCGAAATCATGCCCAAAGTTTTATCACCACGTGTCGTATTTCTTTGTGATCTTGTTTTAAAAATGTTTACAATCAATTTATCAGTTAATGAGCTAGGATGTTGTACATATATAACATACTGATAGTGTTAATTCTTTATAATATTAAGAGACATTCATAGAAGTTACGTCTTACGTACATATACAACTTTGATTACGAGTATAAAGCTGACATCAAATTATTACGTGTGTATATTACGTTGGGTTTGCAGGTGAGAATACGTGAGGTTAGATTACTGGACAGACCAAGGGTTTGTAGTTAAACGTTTATGTGAAAATATGTTTAAGTTGTGGAGTGAACTGGCTAAGTAATTTATCTCTTGGTTTGTTTGAGGGTCGGCGGGGTCGCTCTGTGTAAACTTTGGTTTTCTCTACTGATACGAGGCAAGCATACAGACGGCTTTGATAGCTCTAGATACAGCCCTGCCCTTGTAAGACAGACTCGTTGATACGACAATCGCAGGCTAGGCCCGGCCATCCGGCAGTGGTCAGGCAGCCAGCCACTAAGTAGGGGAATCGCCAAGGAGAGTGGATAGGGTCGGAATATAGTTAGGTCTCGTTTATCGATAATTTTAAAATGCTTTTAAGTCGTTTTTGTTTACCTTGGCGTCGGGGCTACCCGGGGTATGTTCTAAGTGGAAGTGTGACTCTGTGTGTAGAGATGCGGGTGTTTTGTAGCACGTGCGGGGGTAATAAGACGGGTAGAGTACATTCAGTCCACCAGGTGGTGAAAGTGGATTTTAAGCGGGTATCAAATATGAAATCGAGATATTATTTCTAAAAGTTTGGTTTTTATACATATTTTTAACTGACGTTATAGTGACACCTCTCGCCTTGATCGTTCCGAGACTAAAAGTGAAATTTTTCACATGCAATCCTTCCCTATGATTACCAGTTTCCGGTAAATATTACAAATAAAGATGTTTTGATGCACGTTAATGAAAGCGTTTGTATCGAAACTGACCAATAATATCAACCTCTAATTTGCCATTGACATGCTGTATTCACCAAAAGCTGTTCACCTTTACGTCTTAAACATCGTGAAATATGAGCGTGATTGCCGCCTGTGCGGCTGTAAGCCATTATATAATCAATACGGTATGAAATAGACACTTGGGTAAGCAACAGGTTGGCCGTCTCTCACAATATTGACAACTTGCTGATTTCAACCCAGAAATCGACATCCGCAATCACGCTCCTTAAAGCCGTAAGTCCTTGGTCAGTAGTAGGAATGTGAGAGTGAATATAGCAATATTCCAGCAATATCACGGCGGGGGACACCAGAAATGGGCTTCACAGATTGTACCTACGTGGGGAATCGAACCCGGGTCTTCTCCGTGAAGAGCGAACTCTTTAACCACTAGGTTAACCCACCGCTCCTCAGTGGTAGGATGGATAGGGCAATGGGTTGTGTGTTGGGTTTATGCCAGTTCGATTCTCTGGGCGGTATTCATGAAGTGGTTGTATATTCACGCTGGCTCTCGTTTGATACCCAGGTACCAGGTATGAGTCAATTAAATAAATGATTGGAATGAATTAATAATTATTAACATTTTAGTTCAGTGAGTGTAGCAATGTCGTCCAATGTTTATTCGACTTGTTTTGTTATATGTTAACCGTTAACAATCAATCTGTCAATCAATCAATCAATCGTACTGTTAACATATCACGAAACAGGTCTATGTGATACAAAGGCTTGCCGCAAGTTTGATGACAAAGGAAGGTGCAAGAGAACTGATCCCATACCCAGGCTACCTCAGCTCGTTCTATCAGTGTATGGTGTAATGTAAAACTGTAAAACATTTTTGTGAGTCACAGTGATCGAGCGTTTCCGAAACACGACGATCCCACGTTAAAATTTTATAATTAAAAATCCGATCCCCTTTCCCGCCAACTTAGGATTACGTAATCACGAGCACGTTGGCGCCATATCCATTTAATGCCAGTGTCTCCGTGTCGATTACAACTTCGACATTTTTTCTCCGCTGATACGGAGAATATACAATGAATGAGGTTGTTAAATCATACTGAACTGTTCGAATGTGGTTGTCACGGGCTGCTCCTTGTAAAAACACATGCCAGTTGACATGACGCTAACTAGGTTTTTGGCCTTGTCTGACGTAACAGAAGCAAGAAATACAAAATATCTGACATCCTCATCAATTATGTGCAGTGATGCTGATCTTTATCAGCGTATGCCATGCGATGCGTCTAGACCTATGTGAATCGCATAGAAATTTTCATTGTTTTTCTGTCGAAATTTAAATAATTGCAGAAACGTGGATTTTAAAAAAATGTTTAATTTTAATTTGCTTTGTGTATTATGTAGTGTTTATACGTTGGTGCGAGATTAATGTTGCATGAGGCAAGGTTATCCATTGAATGTTAATGGTATAGGGCGCTAGTATTGGCGACTGAGAGGCGGCCAGAGTAGATATCTCTGTAGTGCTTGTCTGAAATATTCATTAAGAGGAAACATCTGGACGCGACATACAATGCGTCTAATTATGTCTAGTGGGAAGCTGATGATGATACGACTTCCGTCTAGCGCTAGTAACACCTGGAACGCTATTTTGCTTGACCAAGTTTGGAGTCGGACAAGGTGCGATTCTTCCTCGTACTGTATTATGCCTTAATTCAAAAAACGACTTTCCTTTAATTTCACGACGACAGAAATAATCAGGAGCGTCTTGTTTTAAGGAATATTTAACCTGAAACCATGTCGTATGTGATAATGTATTCCCCGTCGTCGTGAATGTTTTGCATTGTCATGCTTTCATTCCGCAGATGGTAGCGTGGGGACATGGGCGGGCTGTTATTTCAAATTATAACTTTTCTAAATTTCAACCTACTTATTTATTTTCTCGATAACGTTAAAA